TCTCTCTCTCTCTCTCTCTCTCTCTCTCTCTCTCTCTCTCTCTCTCTCTCTCTCTCTCTCTCTCTCTCTCTCTTTCAGTATTTCTCCCCTTTCTATCATATCTGTCTCCTCCTTTCCCGCTCCCTATTTGTACGTCTACCCACCTTTCCTCCCTCTCTCATCTCACTCTCGTGGCATGCTGTACGAAAGATCTCAATTTAAAGGGCGGCGCTGGCGAGATGCAGTCACGCTAATCTCGCAGCCCCGGCGAACTCACTACTGTATACTACTATATATATATATAATATATATATATAATATATATATATAAGGCTAAATACTGCACGTGGAGCGCAAGAGAGTGCAGTGCAATGATCCGCAGTCGATAGCCAACATCCGGATTGATTATGTGATGGTTTGACTGAATTCAGTTTTTACGAGAGCGCTTTTCTTCGTTGATAGCTGCAGTGAGAGACGCCAGTTGCAAGCACAATCACACACACACACACACGCACGCACGCACGCACGCACGCCCGCACGCACGCACGCATGCACACACACGCAAACATGCACGTGCGCGCGCGCACACGCACGCGTGCACAAGCAGGATATGCGATGTAGACCAGCCAGCCTCCAGGGCCGCCTCCAGGAAACCGCAGTTTATCGATCGAGCAATGTGCGAACCTCTCTCGCCCGCTTGTTTTCGTGTTTTCGTGTTTTCGAGATTGCGCAGAGTGAGAGAGTGCGAGAGCCAGAACCGGCTGCTACCCACTGCTGGCTGCTGCATGGGTTCGTGCAAGAGTAGATAATATAACATCTTATCTTACTTAGTTATATTATCTACTCTTGGTTCATGCTACCTGCTGGTTAACTAAACTGCGCCACGACATCCCTCATCCTCGTTGAACGCGCCATCCTATTAACACCCTCCCCCTCTCGCGCACACGTGCGCGTCCGTCACGGAGGGGTTCAAGGTCGGAGCGGAAGGGGTTCAAGGTCGGAGGGCGGCTATAAGAGCACGACACGGACTTGGGTCCGAGCGCCTGTTACGACCATGTATTTCCCTGACGCGCATTCCGAAGTCTCTCGGCAGCTCCAGCGGTACCGTAGCAGACGTAGCAGACGGACACCTCAACGGGACTTGAACGTGAATAGCATACGCACGTGGTGGGAAGAGTGAGAATACTGGATATGTAAGAGACAGAGGTGGGAGAGTGGGAGAGGCGGAGTAGATGAAGAGATGGACGGATGGAAAGGAGAGAGAGAGAGCGAGAGAGCGAGAGAGAGAGAGA